CAAAACACTCTTTATCCCAGGGAGCAATGTTTTGGGGTGAAATTCTTCACACTCCTTTACTACTACGTCCTAGTTTTATATTTTCCACAATAAATCTTATTGGTACACATGCCTGCATAAGGCATTGTGTTAGGTGCTTTATGTAGTTTTCGTATTTTTTTGCCCAGGTTGGAGTGGAGTGGCATGATCTTGGCTCACTGCAATCCTGGGTTCAAGCTGGGATTATAGGTGTGTGCCACCATAGCGAGCAAATTTTTCTTTTTTCTTTTTTTTTTTTAAGCAGAGATAAGTTTTCACCATGTTGGTCAGGCTGGTCTTGAACACCTGACCTCAAGTGATCTGCCCACCTTGGCCTCCCAAAGTGCTGGGATTACAGGTGTTAGCCACCACACCTGGCAGCTTTATGTCATTTTCTAACTAAATTATCAGTATAACTCCATGAGTAGGTATTTAATTTCCATTTGACAGAAGGAAAATGGAGGCTCAGAGAGCTGAAATTGAATCCAGATCTGCAGGACTCTAAGTTGCTCTTTTAGCGACGTTATGCTGAGCCCAGACAGGTTTGGGTTCTCAGAAAACATGTATTAACTGTGCTGACTGAGACAACAGTCTCTTGCCTCTTTCTTGGTATAAACAGCAGACACGCGGAGGCGGCAGAAGGGGCTGAGATGTCTACCGACTTGTGTGTCTTTCTTGGTCATCAGGATGCAATATCAACTTGGGCCCAGGAGTGCTGACAGCAGCCTCTTTGGGAACTGGGTCAAGCACAACCAGTGCTCTCAGCAGCCAGGCAACAAATTGCAAAGCCTTAGTCTGTGCCTGATAAATGCCCGTGGGTTTCCCCTCCTCTCCCGGCATCAGGCTGATAACTGGCGCTCTGCCCCTCCGGCTTCCCGAGACACTGCTATTTACGTGATGCATGATTCACGCTCATTTATTGCCAGAGAGTATGATGCTTTGCCTTGGTACTTTATTGAGAGCACAATAAAAATAAAGATGAGCTACTAATAAAATGTCAAAAGAAAATGTCAATTAGTATTACCAAAAAGAAAAAAAAAAGAGAGGCTGATGTTATTGTACATCCTCTCAGTGAATTCCCTCTAATTAGTCAAATAAATATGCAGTCCTCCCACTCGGGTGTGTGTTTGTTTGCTTTAAAACATTGTAATTACATCCCCCGCTTTGGAAACTTCTGGGAACCGGAACCTCCACACATGGGCTTTAGCTAGGATGACGTGAGCCAGCACTTTGGTTGGGATGAAACTCCATGCCTGTGTAAGTTACTGGGCTAAGCATTCAGAAGCAGGCTGTGCCTTACCCTGCCCTCACTCAAACTCCCACTGTGGCTCCCTAAGGCTGTGACATCAACACCAATTCCACTTTATACAATGCAAAGGGAACTGGGCAGGGAGAGGTGAGGTCTGCATGATTTTGAGACAGCCTCTAACCTCTCCATGCCTCTGTTTCCTCTCTGATGAAATGAAGCAGATCTAGCTGCTCCCAGCCACAAGGCAATCATGATTTCCATGGCCAAAAACTGGCTCTCCCCATCCCTCCAAGTTTTCCATATCTCCCTCTTCCTGTAAGAAAACATTAGAACTTCAGTTGATATTTAGTTTATATTGACTTCTTCTATTTTTGTGTATATTTGATGTATATAAATCTATGCTAGGAATGGAGTAGAACATGTATATGACTAATGAATACATAGGTTGGTGATGTCTCCTGAAAAAATCTGTGTTATTAAGGCCAGGTGTGGTGGTTCATGCCTGTAATCCCAGCACTTTGGGAGGCAGAGGTGGATAGATCATTTGAGGTCAGGAGTTCAAAACCAGCCTGGTCTCTACTAAAAATACAAAAATTAGCTGAATGTGGTGGTACACACCTGTAATCTCAGTTCTTCAGGAGTCTGAGGCAGGAGAACCGCTTGAAACTGGAAGGTGGAGGTAGCAGTGAGCCGAGATCTCGCCACTGCAACTCCAACCTGGGTGACAGAGCGAGACCCTGTCTCAGGGAGAAAAAAAAAAAAAAAATCTGGTGGATTTAAAAAAAAAAACAAAAAAAGACAAGTAGTTTATAGAACAAGGGATATATATATATAAATTTATATATATATTTATATATTTATATATATTTACATATTTTATATACATATTTATATACATAAAATTATTTTTGAGATGGAGTTTCGCTCTTCTTGCCCAGGCTGGAGTGCAGTGGTGCAATCTCAGCTCACTGCAACCTCTGTCTCCCAGGTTCAAGCAATTCTCCTGCCTCAGACTCCTGAGTAACTGGGATTACAGGCACCCACCATCACGCCTGGCTAATTTTTTATTTTTAGTAGAGACGGGGTTTCACCATATTGGTCAGGCTGGTCTGGAACTCCTGACCTCAGGTGATCCACCTGCCTCGGCCTCCCAAAGTGCTGGGATTACAGGCGTGAGCCACTGTGCCCGGCCACAAGGACAATATAGACGAAGTAAGACGATTTATAAACTGCATTCTCTACAAACTGAAGGGGGCAAGTATAATGGATTCCAAAGCTCCATGAAGTAGGAATTCTTATCCTGTGAACAGTTCAGGAGGCAGCTTTGCAGAGGTGAGGTCACAGGAGGCAGCTTTGCAGAGGTGAGGTCTTGCTCAAGGTCCCACAGTGAGGGTGGGTTGGTGTTCAGGTGTGAGTCCAATGCTCGTGAACTTTCCACTGTGTCAGACCCCTTGCCATCTGCGGTCTGATCTTCAGCACTCATGCCTTATCCTGTGAGTCAGCTTGCCAATTTTCCCTGTATCTTGTTGCTGGCCTAGGACAGATTTGCTCATTTAAGATGCCATTGACCTTATCTAATAAAAAGAATCAGGAACCAAGGAGTCTGTTTAATTCATTATTAAAGATCATTTCCTGTTATTATCTTCCCTATAGCAAAATTAGCTGTTAACTCTCCTGTTAGCATAACCCAGCCAGTATTACTAGGAAATTAGGAAAAAAATCAGTTTTTAATGATATGTGCGCTGAGCCCAGGGAATTCCCCATCTTTGGCGCATATTAACATTATGCCTTAGAAGTCGAGGAAATGTTCTGTTAAGTGGAAAAAGAGTTGCAGAAATTTTACTTTTAAAAGTCAAGTAAAAAGTTACTTTTTTTTTTTCCCAAGTCAAATTAATTTTTGTCTCAGGGCAAGAAAAAGTAAATTAAAAATCACACGCTGCCGCTTCCTCGCAGGCCCCATTTCCTCCTGGGTTTCTGTCCCTCTTGGCTAGGGTTTCAGGTTTCTCTGGCCCAGTTTGGGCCTCAGAGGACAGCAGGCTTCAAGGGTTTCTGCTCCCGGGAACCTCTGGCCATGGCGGGGTGGGGCAGCCTGCCCGTCTTCCACTTGTCTTCCCTTTCAGGTCCTTCCCTTACTCCTGGGCAGTTGTTGGGGGTGAGACGGGAGCAAGGACTGAGACCCCGATGATTCAGGGAGGTCCCCTGTTGCATGACATGGAGTGTGGTTGACCCCTGGATAAGAGGTTGCTGGGACGCTGATCACTCCTCCCTCCACTGGGCATTAACACATGGGCTGACCAGGGGCTGGTGGGGGACTTTAGCAGCCTCCACCAGACTCCCACAAAGGGCAGAAATAGTGCTGATGTGACCATAAGTGAGGTGCCCAGTTCTGAGTGGGTACCCAGGAAGTGAGGAGCTCTGGACAAAAGGAGCAGGCAGTGAGCAGATGTTTCATGGTCGGGGAACACAGCGCTTTAGAGCCCTGAGCTCACGTGTCTGAAGGCATAGGGGTGCCTGGGTGTATGTGGGGAGAGACACAGCAGCCTGGCGTGGTCAATGAGTCACTGGGCTTGGAGTCCACAGACTTGTGTTGGAATCCTAGCTCCACATGGCCTCAAGAAAAATCACAAAACTGCTTTGGGCCTCCATGTTTTCAGCTGGAGGAGAGATATTCGCCAATCTTTGCAGGTTGTTGTTTTATACACTGCATTCTCTACATAAGGAAGGGCACAAATATGTGGTGAAGGTGGCAGGTGATAATGTTTCTGGAGGCTTCACCAGCATGGAACTCTGAGATCTCAGAACAGGCTAAGGGGACAGTGCTTGGCCAAGATCGCAGGAAAGGGGAGGCTCTCGCAGAGTCCCTTCTGTGTGCCTGAAACCCCGTTAGGCTCACAACACATTCGTTACAGGCTCATGAGTTCTTGCAACTCAGGGGATCTTGGGAAACCCAGTCAGGTGACCAACTCATCCCAGTTTGTCCAGAATTTTCCTGATTGTATTAATATTAATAATTAATAATAATTAATAGCACCGTAAGGACTGTGGCCTGGGAAACTTCCCATTTCTTGGCAAAGTGGTCACTTTGCTGGTCACCCTACAAATCTTTCTTGTTTTAAAGACCAGAGTCAGGGCAGAGACTATCTGGCCCAGAGTTATACGGTTAGGGACCCCCGACCTGTTTTTGATGTGAACCATGCTTTCTGGGCAAAGATAGAATCCGGCTCGCCTCCCACCAGCTCAGGCAGGATCCATAAGCCACATACATGCATCCAAAGAGATGAAGTTTCCTTGGGCTCATTTCACCTGTTGGTATCTGACTTACAATTGTTCTCTGTTAACTCCATTATCTTTAATTTGCAAGAATGCAGCCAACAGGAAACTCTGGATGCTTTCTCTTTAATGAAACACAATTTGATTACAAATCATCAGAGTCCCCTGGCAGACAGCCGTTTTTGGAGGATTTTAGCCTGCCATGGTCACACCAGCATGATTTCTGCCATTTGTGGGAGTCCAGTGGGGGCTGCTGAAATCCCCTACCAGGGGAGGTGGCCACTAGTCTCCCGTCAGCCCGTGTGTTAATGCCAGCTGTTGAAAACACCCTCCCTCGTGGCCCTGTGGATGAGGGGTGGTCTTTCTGGGTCCTTGGACACAGTGTGCCAGAAATGCCTTCCAGATTCACCGTACCATTTTGATTCAATGGGCAAGGTTTATTTTTTCTCTTATCTACCAACAGACATTATCGTGGCCAATGTCCAGCCGACCAGATATGGGGTGATCAGTTGTTTGAAGGTGAAAGGTAAGAGCCATGAAGCCAACTTATAAGAACATCTGTGTTTACTGGGACATTGGAGCCTCAGCTCCTGGATATATATGGTGACTTGGGCAGCATCGGCCTTATAGGGCTGAAAGGCAACGCCCTGGGGCAGTATCCTTAATGCGGCAATTTACTAGACACAGTGAGACCAGGTCACACTGTTCCTGGGAGTGGAGTGGCATGATCGTGGCTCACTGCAGCCTCAACTTCCTCCCCAGGCTCAGGTGATTCTCCCACCTTAGCCTCCCAAGTAGCTGAGACTACTGGCTGGGGCTACCATGCCCAGCTAATTTTTGTATTTTTTTTTGAAACAGAGTCTCGCTCTTTTGCCCAGACTGGAATGCAGTGGCGCCATGTCCTGCTCACTGCAAGTTCCACCTCCCGGGTTCACGCCATTCTCCTGCCTCAGCCTCCCAAGTAGCTGGGACTACAGGCGCCCACCACCACGCCCAGCTAATTTTTTTGTATTTTTAGTGGAGATGGGGTTTCACCATGTTGCTCAGGCTGATTTCAAACTCGTAGCCTCAAGCAATGCGCCTGCCTCGGCCTGCCAGCATGTTGGGATTACAGGCGTGATCTGGTTCTTTCTGATTGAGGGGTCTGTCTGGGCTCAGGAGGAGGGTCTTGCCTGCACAAGAAGATGGATGAAACTTTCTCAGTTCCTTCCTGACATCAACAAGAAGAAGCAGAGTGTAGCATAAGTTTAGATGAAGTTTCCTTGGGCTCATTTCACCTGTTGGTATCTGACTTACAATTGTTCTCTGTTAACTCCATTATCTTTAATTTGCAAGAGTGCAGCCAACAGGAAACTCTGGATGCAGAGCACTGATCAAAAAGGACAGTTTCTAGTCCTCACCACACCATGACTTGGCTGTATGATCTTGGGCAAGTCATTTCTCTTCTTTGGTCCACTCAGTGTCTCCATTTGACATACTGGAGAATTGAATTTATCTATCCCTAGGATCTTTCCCTTTCACCTCATTCCGTGGTTTTCTAAGTACCATCTCTTTATTTTTCACTTGCACACAATCTCACCTCTGCCTTCCAGCTGGAACGCGTGTTCCTGAGGCCAAGCATCTTCCCTGAATGCTCGCTAGTAAGTGCCCCACACATGTGGGATCAGAGCCTGTGGTTGCATAGCAGTAAAATTAGTATTACCTGCGGGTGGGGGTGAGGGGTTTCACCCCATCCTCCAACTTCTTAGAGGAGGAAATATTTTAATGGTTGGAAACAACCCAGATCTACACAAAAGGGCATGAAAACAGCTACTTAAATTCTACGTGCACTTGGCACTGCAAAGATCAGAAAACTCCCATCAAGATAGATGATAAGAAGAAAAAAATCATGAGCACTTTGCTTTAATTTAACTCAAGATGACACCTCCATCATCCCTTGGTCTGTAGTCCCGCGAGGGTCCCCGCTCCCTTTTGCACATGCGTGGTGTGTGTTCACACGGACTCTTCTACAACTTTGCATCTCTGAATTCACTCATTGGTTCCACACATTCAGCTATAGCTGTTTGTGACTTCTCTCCTGTAATTGTTTGAAAACAGTGTCAGGGCATGGCTCCTTTATCTTGCTGTGATTGGTTCATTTTTTTTTTTTGATGGAGTCTCGCTGTGTTGCCCAGGCTGGAGTGCAGTGGCATGATCTCGGCTCACTGCAACCTCTGCCTCCTGGGTTCAAGTGATTCTTCTGTCTCAGCCTCCCAAGTAACTGGGACAGGCATGCACCACCATGCCTGGCTCATTTTTTAAATTTTTGGTAGACAGGGTTTACCAGGTTGGCCAGGCTAGTCTCGAACTCCCGACCTCAAGTGATCGGACCACCTCGGCCTCCCAAAGTGCTGGATTACAGGCATGAGCTACAGTGCTTGGCCATTGCTGCGATTGGTTCTAAGAGTCTTTCTGCCCTTCTTTCTCTTTTCCTGCTATGCTAACCCTCACAGGACTCAAATTTCTTGGAAAAGTTGCACAGGAATCATCTACTTTGCAGGGTTAGACATCAGCCTTGCCTTGAAAGGCTGAGCATCATAAACAGTAACACACAGTCTGTTTTCTCTCCCACACTCCCACACCTCATACTGAATATTTAAGAGATATTGAGCTTTGGGGAAAAGAAGCCAGGAGATGTTGGGGAGGAGGTGTTCCTTGATATGAGAAAGCCCATTTCCAGAGAATCAGAAGACTTGAATTCAATTCTGCTGTCAGGGGCCATGGGGAAGTCACTTTATCACCTGGGACTCAGTTTCCCCATATGAAAAATTAAGTCATGAAAATAATTAACCATAAAGTCCATTTTAAACTCCAAAATAGAGAGACCCTCTCTCTTCTTTTCTAAGACCTTACTTAAGGTGAGGTTCCATCAAGGTTCTTTATAACGTACCCCTTTTATTTATTTGAGATAGAATCTTGCCCTTGTTGCCCAAACTGGAGTGTAGTGGCACCACCTTAGCTCACCGCAACCTTGAACTCCTGGGCTCAAGCGACCCTCCCACCTTAGCCTCCAGAATAGCTGGGACTATGGGCATGTGACATGCACAGCTATTTCTTTGTCTATAGAGATGGGGGTCTCCCTCTGTTGCCCAGGCTGGTCTCGAACTTCTGGCCTCAATGGATCCTCCTGCCTTGCCCTCCCAAAGTGGTGGGATTATAGGCATGACCCAACAGTCCTAGTCATGCCCTCCATTTAATCCTCAGAACAGCCCTTTGAGGGCATGTTATTAGCCTTATTTTACAAGTAGGGCAACCAAGGTTCAGAGAGGTTAATGGACCTGCCCAGTGAAAAAATTTATGAAGCCAGAGACCAATCCAGAATTTTCTAACTGCAGCACCCATGTCTCTAACTCTAGAGATTGTTCTAACTCTACCCTCTCAAATATGATGAGACTTTGGTGTTACTCTCAGGAAAACTGCTGAGAAAATGTTGCTTGATTTCCCTGCCCCCATTTGCACAAGGGGTTCCATGTCATGGAGAACTTTCCTTTCAAAAAATTTCCAAAGGACAAGTGATGCATTATGTCTTCCATTTTTGGCAACTTCACACAATAACCTTAACAGCCTCTTGGCTTCCATCTCCCAGGGATGGCATTTCAAGTATGCCTGGTCATGGAGTGCCTGTGGTTTAAAATTTTAATGGAAGACCCTTACCCCCCATCTGTCTTTATTCGCTGTTGCCCTGTCCCTGGCTTCCTGGTGGTCACTGAGCTCTGCAGGCCCCCTTCCCCCAGCCTGTCTCCTCCTGCCATTGAGAGGGGCTGTTCTTCTTCCCGAGCGGCAAGCCCCTGATTCTTTTAGCACAGCCAATGGGCTCCACTGGGGCTTTCAAGCTTGCTGGCAATTTGGATGTCAGTAGCTGGGAAAATCAAGCTTAATATTTGATGACATTACAAAGTCAGTCTGTTCTATTTTCATCCCAGATAGAGTGAAAAAGCAGAGTTCTCACCAGGAGACTCTCCCAGAAAAGTGGGAGACAGTTGTGTCTGGGAGCCTCAGCAGGTTGGCGGGGAGTACTGGGCAGGGGTCAGCATGCAGATGCTCTGGTTTTGGCTTGACAGCCAACTAGCAGTTGACCTTGGGCAAGTCATTCTCTCTCTGAGCTTTGACTTCCTCCTGCACAAATAAACGATCTCTCAGGCTACAAGTACCCTGATTTAGGAATGATGTGATCTTAAACACAAGATCGACTTGGGGAGGTGTTTCTATGCTCCGTGCAAACTTGAGGAATGGCTATAGTGTTTTGAGGGGCGGGGACAGAAAAGCAAGGAAGTGCCCTGGAGACCAGGTGAAGAAGACTGAAAAATGGGACTAGCTTTGTTTGTAGAACATACGAAAGGTTCAGGATGCCCAGTCACTGTGCCAGGGTTCCAGGGTGGATCCCAAGACTTTGGGGACCCAGAGGAGAAGACAGGTGCTGGTGATGTAGGCCAAAGTCAGTCTTCAGTTCCTGTGAGTCTCTGGTCTGATGCTCAAGGGAGGTGCTGGGTTCAGTTTTCACCTCCAGACTCATGCCTGTCCTGTTCCTTCTGCACCTGCACATGTGCCCACACAGGGTGTGCAATAAGACCATACAGCTCCATGCTCTGATCCTGCGTATGTGGAGTCTGGAGTTTACTGTGTGTCAAGCACAGTACACAGTGCTTGCACTTACATGCCTTTCCATCTTTATCACAATACTAGGAAGTCAGCGCTACTCTCAACCCTATTTTGCAGTTACAGAAACTGAGGCCAGAGAAGCCAAATGGCTTTCCCAAGACCACACAAATGGTCAAGGGTAAACTTGTACTTAACCCCATCTCACCCTAATCCATACCCATTTGCTTTCGACAAATTCTGAATCCTCTGCCTTGTAGACCAAGTCAATTGGGCTGAGACCTGTTCCTGAATATGGCTTTCTTTTAATGCATCTACAGGATCACTTTTCTCTGATCTAGAGTCTGGACCACCTCGGGGGACAAAGCAGAGCTGTTAGGGAGGTGTGGACAGGAGCAGGAATGATGTCAGGTTACCATCTGCTTGCAGGACGGTTGCTGGGTGGCCGTGGACTGACACAGCTCTTCTGCCATTCTCACTTGTAGTTGTCAAGAATAACTCTGGACTGTGCTGGGAATGCAGTATCTTCTAATAAGGAGGAGTTGGCTGAAACAGCCTGGGCTCTGTACCTGTCCCTCAGATGTCCTTCGGTGCTTTAGCCCAGTGTCTCATAGATCTCCCAGGTATAAAACCCAGTGTGGGCTTCTTTCTGGGGTCCCTTGGCTGCAGTACAAGTGGGGCATGTACATGTACTAAAAATACAAAAATTAACCAGGCATGGTGGTGGGTGCCTGTAATCCCAGCTACTAGGGACATGGAGGCAGGAGAATTGCTTGACTCTGGGAGGCAGAGGTTGAAGTGAACCAAGATTGTGCCATTGCACTCCAACCTGGGCAACAGAGCAAGACTCCCTCTCAAAAAAAAAAAAAAAAAAAAAGCCAGAAAACCCCTGCAAAACATGGACATAATCTTTTTCATGTTTTCTGGGTGGTAAAGATTAAAAAGTTAGAAAATGCCGAGATAGTGAGAGGTGTGTATGAGTGTGATATTGGTGGTAGCGTAAATTGTTATAACTCTCTTGGGGGGAATTTGGCAATATCTAACCAATATCCTGCCAATATCTTTCTTACTCGTAAGTCAAAACTGTGATTGTTAAATCCACAAATGATAATGCTTTTCCACGTATGTTGAAGTTTCTTAAATAGTATTTTATAGAATAAGTTTTCCTAATACATCATTGAAGAGGTTTTTCAGGAGCATAGTTTGAAAAATACTGACAGGTATAATGTAGGAAGTAGTTAGAATATATCTGGGAGCTACCAACACTATTCAGGTCTAGCTACAGTGATGTTTGCTGCCCCTCTTAGGAAGAGAAACCTTTCACAAACCTCCACCTTCATTTTCTCCTCTTGCAAATGCTTTTTGTTCAGGAGCATAAACGCCAGGGCTGCAAAAGTGATTCCAAACCCAACAGAACTCCCTGGGGATAGGCTGTTCTCTCTGTAGCTGGGACAAGGAGATGGCAGGCCCTTCTCTTCCCAAGAACCTCCCTGGTGTGCAACCAGAGGCCAGAAACTTACCTTGCAGCATTAATTAGGAGAGATGCAACATTTGGAGACAATCTGTTCAAGAAACCCTGCACAGGACACGTTTTCATCCTGGACTCTGGGGCTGATATGTGCCAGTGGCTTGACTCCACGTGCCTCGATGGAATTCTCTGGCAGAACCTCTCCAAAATGTGTGGAAAAATCTGTTTCTCTGGGTTCTCCTTCTTTGCTTCAAGGTGAAACAGGCGACTTCCTTCACTGCCTTTCTCTGGGAGCACGATGAGCACTAATTACCCGCTCACTGCCAAGCTGGCACCCGGCATGAGCTGTCAGGAGCCTCCAGTCCCTTCCTGAAGCATGCAGGTAAGTAAACACAAGCAGGAGAGGAACCAGTGAGCGTGGCGGGGCCATGGATGGTGTCTGCTGGACCAGCCTCCTGTTTCTTCCTTTGCTGCTCCAAGTCCCCTGCAGGACTAGCTGGAGTCCCCCCATCTGCCCCGGCAACTGCTGTCCAGGGACCTGATGGCCCTTTGCTCACCAAGGAGGCTCATGTCTTCTACCGAGGACAGTGGCCTTCCACCTTGGCTGCTCAGTAAAACCATACTTAAAAAAAAAAAATCACTGTCACCAATGCCTGGATCTCACCCCCCATGAATTCTGACTTAATCAAGGTGCTTACAAAGCTCCTGTGTGATTTTAATATGTACCCATATCTTGATTATGGGATGACCACATACATCGGGATACTTTTGAGAGTGTGTTCGGGCACTATTAATCATTATTTTGGGACAGTGTGCATAACTGGTACTGTCCTAGGCAGCCTGGGATGCATGGCTACCCAGCTCTAACCCTGAGAGATCCCTGAGAATCGTCTCCCAAGGACGTGAGCATAGCTGAGGTTTTTTCCCCTTTGTGGATGAAAACATTGACACTTTTACATCGTTGCAGATGACTATAGGGGGTGTGTCATGAATTTGATCTTGGGTGCTATTATATTTCCAACAGCCACACTTCCCACTTCAGGTACCTCCTCTTTCCCCTCTTGAGAAGTGAAGAGGGATGCCCACTCCGGTAATTCTCAGCCTTTGCTATTTTTGTAGCCCTGGAGAAACTCACACCTGAAAGACACCCTAGCAGTCACCTGGCTCCATCTTCCCTGCAATGCACCCATCCCTCATGCAGCATCTTGGGCAAGGATGAGCAGAGAGCACTGGATTTGGACTCAGAAAGCCTTTCTGAGCCTCGGTTTCCTCATCAGTAAAATGTGGGTTATACTACCAGCCTCAAAATGTTGCAGTAGGGATTATATGAGACCCTCTTTCAGCACATCTCGGGAGGAACACACAAAGCTGGGAGGACCAATGATCCGCGGAGAGCAGAGTACATACTTGTCCCTCCTCGCTGGGGAGATATACCTCTTCCACGGGCAACCATTCACTCTGCTAATAGCATGTCTTTAATGGATGACAATCTCTTAATCCTCTTAGAAATGACAGATGGTAAGTCCTACATTGTTTAGGAAGAACAGGATGACTATGTCACACTTACACAACAGTTGGAATAAATGGAGTTCGTTATAAATATTAATCATCTTTTTACATAAGCTTGTTCCTTGAGAAGTGACGTAAGAAATCGAGAGCATGCCTGCCTATTCCACAGGTGGAAAGATCGAGGTGCCATGTGGTCTAAAATCTCCCAGCAGGTACTTCTACAAAAAGGGTGTCTTAGTCTGTTCTGACTGTTATAACAACATACCATAAACTAGGTGGCTAGAAATTTATTTCTCTCAGTTCTGGAGGCTGGGAAGTCTAAGATCAAGGTGCGGGCAGATTTAGTGTCTGGTGAGGGCCCCGTTCCTGGTTCATAGACGGTGTCTGCTTGCTGGGTTCTCACATGGTGAAGGGGGAAGGCAGCTCTTTGGGCATTTTTTTATGAGACAGAGTCTCACTCTCTCACCCAGGCTGGAGTGCAGTGGCGAGATGTCAGCTCACTGCAACCTCCACCTCCCAGGTTCCAGTGATTCTCCTGCCTCAGCCTCCTGAGTAGCTGGGATTACAGGCACCTGCCACCACTCCTGGCTAATTTTTGTATTTTTAGTAGAGACAGGGTTTCACCAAGTTGGCCAGTCTGGTCTTGAACTCCTGACCTCAGGTGATCCGCCTGCCTCGGCCTCCCAAAGTGTTGGGATTACAGGTGACCGTGCCTTGCCTGGGGCTTCTTTTATATGGGCACTAATCTCATTCATGAGGACTTGGCCTTTGACCTGATCAACTCCAAACAACCCCACCTCCCACTACCATCACACTGAAGACTAGTTTTCAACATACGAATCTTGGGGGGCACAAAAACATTCAGACCATAGTGGGGGAAGAGCATGACATTTATTGAGAATTGTGGTGTTTGGCATTTCCACTTAACTTTATTTCATGACGACCTTTCAACAACCCTACAGGGCAGTTATCTCTGCATGTTGGTTGAGGAAATAGGCTCAGAGAGGTTGTGTAACTTGCCTAAGACCACCCAGCAAGGTGGCTAGCTGGGCTGTGAGTCTGATCCTGCCTGACTTCAAAGCTTAACCCCAGATCCCATTGGAGGGGATCATGCCTTTCAGGTCATGAGCATAATATCCAAATCTCTAGAATTTTCAGACAATCACCGGTTTGGTCATATCCTTTTACATCTCCACCCTAGTAAAGACATTTCAAGGAGATTTTGTGGCCTAAACATTTGGGTCAATGGCTTTTTAAGGTGATGCCTTCCACCTTGGCTCTTACCTTTCTTCCACAAGCATTTGTTGGCTGCTGAATTCTGCGGTCTACACCAGGGCGACAATGATGTCTGCAACATGGCCCCTGTCCTCAAAGAGCTTCCAATCTAGTATAAGAGTCTGTCTAGGAGGCAGGAAATACACTGTAGAGTGAGAAATGTTCTAATAAAGTGGGTAATGGTGGGCAGAGTGCAGGATTTGAAAGCTCACAGGCCCACAGCAAGGAGTATTCAACATTACACAGCAGATCAGGGAAGACAGCTTGGAGGAGGTAGTTTTTGAATCTGGGTTTGGAATAAGGTTCAGGTGGATAAGGAGAGAAGGAACAGAGAGAAGAAGATGTGCAAAAGCATGAAGTGTAGGAAGAGGCTTTGGGCTTGAGAAAGGCAAGTCACATGGTACAGGGCAATGCTGAGGTTCAAGGGCTGGTGGGAGTCAGCTCCTAGTCTGCTGGGACTCTGTTCTCACTATGATGGGTTCAGCCCACATGTTGGTTCTCCGGCTGCAATTCACACTCAGCATGCAGAGCTGGTGCAAGGCCCCATTGCCTTGTCTCTTCAAATTAGGCTAGAAAGGTGAAATGACTTCATTACTGTTGTCTTGCTGGTTGCCTCTTCTCTGAGGATGCTTCCTGCTGCATTCGTCTTGCTAGATTACCCGAAAAAGACAGCTTTTGCCCCCGCTGATGGGCCTCCCGGATCATTTTCTCTGCCATTCAACAGCGACTCTGCCACGTTTTATTCTCCAGCAGACTTTTGCTATCTTCTAATAATTTTCTTCTAAAAAAGTTCACATTCATTAAAAAGGCCATGTCTGGAAATATATTATATATGTGTTTCTTCGGAAAAATAGGCCATCTTTAAATTATTATGCTGTTGATGTAAGCTGGATTTTATTAGCATTTCACCTGTGGTTTGGTGACAGACACAAGCTGGCTTGAAAACTGTTGAAACAGGATTCTTTGTTGATTAATTTGTTTTTCTTTCTCATGGTTCTGACACTTAGGAGATATTTAAATTGTATTTTACAACTTTGTGCGAAACCAGTCTGAGTGTTAGAGAGCTGTGTGGGCAGAATTTAGATGTTTTTAATGACGCAGTTGCGGAAGTCACATTTGAAATTCACAGAATCGGGCTGGGCGAGGTGGCTCACGCCTGTAATCCTAGCACTTTGGGAGGCTGAGGTGGGTGGATCACCTGAGGTCAGGAGTTCAGGACCAGCCTGGCCAACATGATGAAACCCCATCTCTACAAAAAATACAAAAATTAGCTGGGTGTGGTGGCAAACGCCTGTAATCCCAGCTACTCGGGAGGCTGAGGGGGGAGGATCACTTGAACCCGGGAGGCGGAGGTTGCAGTGAACTGAGATCACGCCACTGCACTCCAGCCTGGGCAACAGTGGGAGACTCTAAGAAAAAAAAAAAAAGAAAGAAAAATTTCACAGAATCAAACACACCTGGAGGTGGAAGGACATCCGTGGTCCAGAGGTCCAATGCCTTGGTTAATGGCTGTTAGTGACAGACTGCTGCCATTGCTGATATATGGTAGATCAACTTCTGCTTGGATCTCTCCAGTGACAGGAAACTCACTACCTTAACATCAGCCCTGAATTATTCCTAGTGAGGCATGTTAAACGGTGTCACACAGTAGGTATCAAAGCCTCCATGTGCTTCAGTTTGAGCTCCAGAGTTAAGATGGCACAACCCTTGGCCATGGTACCCAGGAGGCTGTTGGTTGTACCAGAGAGAACACATATTCACATGCAGAGGAAAGTGGCCTGGCCCGAAGCCACCTGACAGTGACTAGGAGGTCCCTGAAGCCTGCCTTAAGCAATAGATGTGCAAATGCTCAGGATCCAGGGGTCCAGGAACAAGAAACAGACATCCCAGTGTGCGGTTTGTCCCAAGAAATATGCAGTGCACGCAGGGATGAGCAGATAGAGCATCTTGGAGGGCATCTCCCCAGCTATCCTGGTTAAGGTCATTGCCAGTCCTCAGAATGGAAAAGCCGGAGATTGGAAATCACCGAGTTCCCTGGATCACTCCTTCAACAAATATTTGCCTGTAAGTTCTAGAGAGTAAATTACAGCAAAGTGTTCTCATAGAATGTGGCCTCGGTCAAACGTTTTTGCTGTTATCTTAAAGTCGGGAGTTTAAACTGCTCTCGGGAGGTATTACAGATGCATTCCTGGAGGAAGGGGACTAGGAATTTGGATGGGGTCCAGAGTCCTGGCTCCTGGGAAGACCATAAGAGATAAAGAGCTGTGTTCTCCTCAGGCTCCTCCAGAGCTGCCTGGGATGCTTATTAACCAAGTGGAGATTCAGAGGGGCTGGGATGGGGTTTGGCTTCTGCAGTTTTAACAGGTTCCCTGGGAGACCCAGGTTTGACAAAGGCTGCCCTTCAGAGCACTGTCTTCACAAGGCACGTTTGTCCTGGGTGTGCTGCATGTCACAAAAGCACTGTGAAAGAGGAAAAGAACTGCACCCATGTGACACGCGTGTGGAGGAGCCGGGAGCTGTGCTGGCTGTTGTGGGATCACTCCATCCTGTAAATTGGTTGCGTTGCATCCGCTGGTCCTCTGTCCCTTCTCTGGTTTACGGAGAATGGTAGCGTCTGAGAATCCTCTTCTAAAGGGCTTAACTCCCTGCCAGGAGTCACTGGAAATAAATGCATCACCTCTTCCCACCCTGGTCTGCTCTCCACTGGGACAAATCTCTTGTCTTGCCCACTGCTTCTACACTCTGTGAACAAATGCTAGGAGCAGCTGAGAACATTCATTCATTCCTTGCACCTAACAACCCAATCCACCCATTTCCCATGTAGTGCAGCCTCTGTCTGCTTCCAGCTATGGATCAGACAGCTGTGACCTCCATTGTGCAGAACGTGGGCATCAGACAGAGCTTTGATTAGTAAGAAATGTGTCGTGCTTCCACAGAGCCCAGAGATGGTATGAATGAAGCTGGCTCTGAAGATATTGCGGACGAGATGTGCCTTTCTCACTTTACCTTTCACCTGTCTTTCGGAGAGCAGTACAGAAGCCCTCAGCTGTGGTGGGAGCTGCAGGTGCTGACCTGTGGGCTGGTGCTTCCTGCAGCAGCTGTGGCCAAGGGTGATGCCGCAGGGAATCCCACTGCCGCTTTGCACCCAGCCTTCCCCTTTGCTTCCCTGGGAACCTGAGTGCAACATTCCCAGTGAACATTTGAGAATCTCTTCTAGCCTCTCCTGACTTGCATCTTGACCCCGCAGTAGCTAGTGAACTTGAGCACGTGGCTTCACCCTTCCGAGCCTCAGTGTCCCCCTCCGCCAGGCCAGGCTGGTCCACCTCCCAGAGCCTCTGTGGAGGAAGGGTCTTTCTGCTCCCTCTTCCTTGTCTCAAAGCAGTTTGTGCATCTTATTTCCTGCCAGTGAGGACAGGGCAAGATTTCATGTATATCTGGGGTTCTTCACTGCACCTCGCTCAGGTCCTGGCATTGTAGAAGAAACCAGTGATCCACAGGAGAGCTCAAACCCGCAAAGACCCAATGAATTAACTTCCAGGTGGGGATAGGAGTCGGGGTGGGGATAGGGTGGTGAGGTCAGGCCTGTGTTCACACCTGTCTGAACTGACTTTTATGCTGGACCATCCGGTCTTGTGTCAAAATTGGCTGGGTTTGGTCCTCTTGCCTGTAATCCCAGCACTTTGGGAGGCCGAGGTAGGAGGATCTCTCGAGCCTAGGAGTTTGAGATCAGTCTAGGTAACATAGCAAAACCCCACCTCTATCAAAAATGCTAATACAAAAATTATCCGGGTGTGGTGGTGTGCACCTGTAGTCCCAGTTACTGGGGAGGCTGAGGTGAGAGGATGGCTTGAGCCTGGGAGGTGGAGGTTGCAGTGAACTGAAATCAGGCCACTGCACTCCAGCCTGGGCAACAGAGCCAGACCCTGTCTCAAAAAAAAAAAAAAAGAAACACCCACCAAAACCAAAATAATGAATAGTTTCCTTCTCAGGTCTTGGTCCCCCTCCGTGGTGCTATCTTGGAATCTTAGGCCCCACTGGCTACCTGCACCTTCCAGGCTACCTGGAATCTAATGAATGTTTTTATCCTGAGGACTTAGCTTTTCCCAGTTTTGAGCAAATACAATTAAAACCAACTGGGTAATAACACAACAATGACCAGGGCCTTCAAAGACGCTCAGGGAACGAGTTGATGTTTTAACCAATATTCTAATTTTGTTGTAAT